ATATGATATTAGTTGTCAAGATATTCTGTGTAATTTGTTCTCCACGATACATTAAAAAAAAATCCCAGAAACAATATGTGTATAAACATTGAGTTCTTCTCACACACATATTTGCAGGATAGGTAAAAGCATTTCCATGGCTGTGGTGATGGATTTGAGTTTCACTGAAACACAGTAAGTTTAAGGATGATGTCATCTAAAGAACATGATGACATGAATGTAGGAGAGTGTCATGCTGGCATACTCAGAGGACTGATTGGTGATCTCTGGAGTTTTTTTTTACCTGCATGAGTAGATATGCAAGGTTTTTGCTTTCTGGCTGGAGGAGGAAGGTGATGAGGTATGTGTCGTATTCAGTTTGTGTGTATGCAAGGGTGCTACAGAGAGCCAGAAAGTTGGGGGATTTAGAATATGAAAGGGATGACTTGATATATCTTGATTTGCCACATCAAGGATCCAATCAAGATATTTTATGTCTTAATTGCCACAACTGTTATGCAGTGTTGAATAGTTGCTGCTGGTTGTTTTCAATAAATGTCTTAGTGATAGGGCTATTCCCAGAGAATGTGTGAAGTCAGAGCAAAGAAAGGCAAGTCCTACAAAAGGAGCTTTTCCAGGGAGCTGCCACATTGATATAATAGTGATAATGCTCTAAGAATGAACCTTTAAAAAAATTGTTTTATTGTGGTAAGAACACTTAATAAGAGAGCTACTACCCTCTTAACAAATTTTTAAGTGAATAATACAATATTGTTGAATATAGGTGCATTATTGTACAGCTAATCTCTAGAACTGACTCATCTTGCTTAACTGAAGCTTTATGCCCACTGATTAGTAATTCCCACTTTCCCTTCTTTCTACTAGCAACTACCATTCCACTCTGATTCTATGAATTTGATTACTTCAGATACTTCATAAAAGTAGAATAATGCAGTATATGTCCTTCTATGACTGACATTTCACTTAGCATAATGTTTTTCGGGTCCATCCACATTGTCACAATTTCATAGAATTTCCCTTCTCTTTTAAGGCTGGATAGTATTCCTCTGTATGTGTATGCCATGTTTTCTTTGTTCATTCATCTGTCAATGGACATTTAGCTGGTTTTCGCTTCTTAGCTATTATGAATGGTGTTACAGTGGGTATGAAAGTGCTTATACCTCTTTGAGATCCTGATTTCAATTATTTTGGATAAATGCCTGAAAGTGGTATTGCTGGATCATATGGCAGTTCTATTTTTAATTTTTTGAGGCTCAAAACCCTGTGTGCCCCTCTGGTGGCGATAAGGTTGCTGATTTTCACAGCTACTGTGATTAGAAGGCTGCTGGGGTTCAAGGCTACTGCAGAGCTAGGGAGGGAGAAGGGGCTAAAGAAAGTCAAGACCCTAAAAAGATCGCTGTTCTCATCCAGATTCAGTCATTTTTCTTGAATAAAAGCTTCTTGAATTGTTGCAAATATTTAGTTAATCTCTAGAGTTTTTAAAAAACTGATTCTGATGATTTTTGCCAGTGTTCATTGCTTTTTTGGATGAATGCAGTTTGGCGGTTCATAGACCACAATTCCTAACTGTTGATCTTGGGCAAATCAGTTAAAATCCATATATCCTTTCCCCCCCAGTTTTTACCTTTGTAAAACAAAGGTAATAACATGCCTCAGAAAAGTTGTTGTGAATATTAGGCAAGTCCATTTAGGAAAAGTACTGAGAATGGTATCTGGCACATAGCAAACACCCAATAGACACCAGCCAACAAGATCTGTTAAATTCATTTTAAATGCGTAAGTTCAGATATTAACAAACTTATCTTTTTTCAAAAAATGTGATATTATATTCACAATATAAGCCACATTTTATTTTTTCTGAATTAGTTTATCTCAGTAGATAGATTTATAGATTATATTATAGAAAGTTTCAGACCACAGTAGTTGATAATGTTTTATAATCCATTACATTGAATATTCCCTAAGGCTTTTTGAAACAATAGCAGATGGCCAATCTGTTGTAGATACTATGATTATACTTATGTTCAAATATGTAGGCTGGAAATTTGCACTAAAACAAGGTACTTTTGCCTTTTGTTACTTTAGAAAAATAAGCCTGTTGTATTTATTTATGTGCTTTTTTCAATGTGGTTTATAAAGTTGTACTTTTTGAGAGGATTATCTCAGGATGAAAAAATAAAATGTATAACATTTTATGAGATACATAGAGTTATCAAAGTTGTTCATGTTTTTATGAAATATTTTAAATTTTAATA